ACATAAAAATTATCAATATTGAAAAGCTTGCAATTCGCGAATTAGTTGAAATCAGTTGATGCGCATGCGATTTTCGTATAAACCGAATCAATGTCTTTCAATAATTATTAATTTTTCGATGTTTAATTCAGCGGTCAAAGTGTGCCACTCGATGCACTTTACTATGCAAAAACCCTAAAAATGGCTAAAAATCACGCAACGTGCATACGATTTTTATGCGCATCCGATTTTAGTAATCTCCTATGAAAATACGCAAAAGGACACCTATTTTAAAAGGATCGGTTAAGAACCGCGGATGTGCCTCCACAATCAATTTTGGATAAAATATGCATATTATTCGCGTATCGATGTATTTTTGACCTATTTCCACACAGATTCGCGAATTTGACAATACAAGCATAAATGCATGTAAAATTAATTCGAAGAAAATCGCGATTATTTACGCGAATTTGTCAAAATAAGTTTTTGCAGTTTTTCCCACATTCAAGGTACCTATATCCGCCGTTTTATTAGACGGAATTCAACATGGATGGGCTCATTAGATCCGGCACGTAAAAAAACTAAAATCACGCGGGGTTCCACGGAATTTGAATGGACTTTCTTAATTTTAGACTCAAAAAATATGTTTTTTATAAAAATTTACGCACTAAATTTTCGTCTTTGAAACCCAATTGCAAAGAAGCTACAGTGAGCACATTCATGAGATATACACTAAACGAAGCAGAATCACGAGTTCTACGATCCTATAATTAGTTTATTCTATTATCTGGATGCGCATCCTAATTATAAGAAAAATTCAAAAAACACCGAAAATCCGGCTTCAAAATGTCAGCATCCATTTTGGGTGGATGCAGTGATTATATCGAAAAATCATACATTAGAACCATATTGTCCATGGGGTATTCTGCAACTTAGTCACTGATCACATGTGCGTGCGTTGTGTAGTTTAGCCACAAATCGGGAACGAACACAAAAAAAACTCGTTGGCTTCAACACATTTTCACCCATTTTTTTACATTACCACCATCACAGCTTCCACGCAACTTATTATTTATTACCAATATTTCAAGATTTTGACAAGAACACTTCATTTTATAGAATTGAATTTAAATTATATGCAATATGTTCATATTTCGCGAGTTATAACCTTGCAAACCTCAGCTTCAAGGAATTTAAAAGATTTTTGTAATTTCCCATATATAGCCAACCAACAAAAACAAAAAATACTATAACAAAAAATATTCTTTTCATTCAACACTGCAACTCGTCGCAAGTCGCACTCTTGAATCAACATTCAAACAAGTTTATGTAAATTAACCTTTTAATGTGTTACCATGCTGAAGTATGAAGTATGTACAAAAGTTTCACATCAATCACAATTGAATTGATTGGACTTTAGTGGTTAATTGATCATTTTAAAATTTCCGAAATAAGAGACAATGAAGAAAAAGGCATTTCTAAAGAAAAATAAAATGAACCATTACTATTTTTGACGTCTCACATTTGATACATTAGATTCAATGATTAGATAAAATTTCTTTAAAACTACTTATCTCAGTTAAATATTACGAGGAATTAAAACGTTAAATTATGATTGCACTTCCACATATCAGTATACGTTGAGATTTAAAATAGAACAGACTATGCAACAGAAAAAAAAAATTATCACACATGACAACATTGAACAATTAACTATATATTGGGCGCCACTTGTAAAACATGTGTGCAAGTATTTACTATATTATTATACAAAAATACTTTTGTATTTTGATTTAATTCGAATCTACACTAATTCAAGAATGTCCCTATGAAATTTCAAGTAAAAATCTCAACAACTCTTGAAGATATATCTGATTTATTGTGCTAGTATCAAGTGACGGCAAAGCCCTCTTGCCTCAAACTTTAAAGTAATTTTTCTCCAAACATCGTTTTTGCGAATGGCGGTCACGATAACTCAAAAACAAATAATCCGATCAATTCCAAATTTTGGGACGTTTCTCTGTGAGTGTATACCTATCGTATGAACTAGGATAAATATAATCGGTCAAGTTCCTTAAGTCTTTTGAAACTTGGAATGTGAATTAAAATTGAAAAGTATGGTCGATAGAAGGAGGTGGTTTTGAAAGCGAGTACTCATGAATACGAAAAGTACTAAACTGTACTAAATTTGGTACAATTTAAATTTTGGGTAAAATAATAGAGCTGGAAACCTTAAATCTGGAGTTAATATCACTGTTGGGGTGTTCGATTGGGGTATGTAGAATATTTTGGAAATGTCTGCTAATGTGTAAATTTGGTACAAATTGGATTTAGAGTGAACCAATAGAGCTGGAATCCTAAAATTTGGAATTAATATCACTGTTGGGGTGTTGGATTGTGGAATGTACAATGTTTAGGAAATGTCTACTAATGTGTACAAAATGGTACTAATTTGGTACAGTTTTGGATTTAGAGTGAACCGATAGAGCTGGAATCCTGAAATTAAAAAGATTTCCATTGAATTGCATGATGAAGGTATTAACGGAAATTTGTACTTATATGTACTAAATGGTACTAAATTTGATACAATTTGGATTTAGCTGAACTGATAGAGCTGGAATCCTGAAATTTGGAAGTAAGATTGGGGTATGTGGGAAGTACTTATGATTGTTAGGATATGTAGTTATGTAAATTTATATTAATGTGTACTAACTGGTATTAAATTTGGGCGAACCTGTAATTTACAGGAGTACAAAGGGTAATAAATGATACCAAATTTAGTATAGAGCTAGATTTCAGTTTCGGTCAGAATTGGTGTATATTGTGGAGATATGGAGGTTTTTTTTATACGCTTCACCACACTGTGGTACAGGGTATTATGTCTTTGTGCATATGTTTGTAACAGGCAAAAGGAATCGAGATAGACCTATGGTTCCTTTTGAGAATACGCATAGAATCACTTTCTGAGTCGATTTATGCATGTCCGTCCGTCCGTCCATGTATTTTTGTTAACAAAGTACAGGTCGCATTTATGATCCGATTTGGATGGAATTTGGCACAGGTCACTTAATTGGTCCAAGGACGAACCCTATTGAAAATGGGAAAAATCGTTTCAAATTTAGATATAGCTCCCATATATATTTTCGTCCGATTTAAGGTAAATGGTGTACCAAAATCCCTATATATATATTTCGATTTGCACGAAATTTGGCATAGAGTACTGGATTAGGTCCAGAATGATGTGTGTTAAGTTTCGAGAAAATCGGTTCAGATTTAGATATAGCTCCCATATATAGTTTCGTCCGATTTAAGGTAAGTGGTGTACCAAAGTCGCTATATATCTTTCCATTTGCACGAAATTTGGCACAGAGTACAGAATTAGGTCCGGAATGATGTGTGCTAAGTTTCTAGAAAATCGGGTCAGATTTAGATATAGCTCCCATATATAGTTTCGTCCGATTTCGATTTGCACGAAATGTGGCACAGAGTACTAAATTGGTTCCAGAATGATGTGTGCTAAGTTTCGTGAAAATCGGTTCAGATTTATATATAGCTTCAATATATATTTTCGTCCGATCTAAGGTAAATGGGGCTCCAAAGGGCCTACATATCTTTCCATTTGCACGAAATTTGGTATAAGTTACTGAATTAGGTCCAGAATGATGCGTGATAAGTTTCGTGAAAATCGGTTCAATTATATTTTCGACCAATTTAATTTAAATTGCGCACTAAAGACCCAAAGATTGGCCGATCGGCACACAATTTTGTACAATGTACTGTTACTATAACCTTTCGTGTGTCAAGTTTTCTTGAAATTGGTTCAGATTTACTTATACCTTCTATATATATTTTCTTCCGATTTTAAGTAAATGTTACACTACAATTTTGCAAAAGGCCCATACAGACCCATACACGTACAGAAATTTATAAAAATTAATATCTAGTAAGTTTGCTTGAAATCGGTTCAGATTAGCTTCTATATATAATTTCGATCTATTCATGTTGACTGTACACCAAATAATCAATGGGTGCCTGATTGATACATTTAAAACAGTGCGTGTGCTTTAAATCTATTTACAAAATTCAGAATAGGTTGCAGAATGGCATGTGTTGGAATTTATGTTAGTCGGTTTACTTATAGATAAAGATCGAATATTTAAGTTCGTTCAATTTCATGTCAATGTTCCTTAGAAAAGGCGACGTCTGTTAGGACACATATGTAGAATATCCCCAAAGTGGTGAAGGGTATCATATAGTCGGCGCAGTCCGACTTTACTACTTTCCTTACTGGTTTTTTTGAAATACGTACTATAAGAGAACATAGACACATTATTATTAAACGTTTCCACGACAGAGGGGTTTACGATCCGAAACGACCCGAGGTATACTCGGCAAACGTCTGTCACCTCAGCCCATTGTGTAAAAGCAATAGTGCTGTTACATAACAACAACATTATTACTAAAAAAATTACATTATGGTACTAAAATTTTTTTATGGTCGGTATTAGTTTTTAAAAAATCCCACATTCGTTAACGAAGTAGTAGTAGATATAGCTCCCATACATATTTTCGTCCAATTTTAGGTAAATGCTGCACCAAACTCACCACGATTGCAACGAAATTTTCACAGGGCATCCATGATAGATGAAAACACGTGTCACGCTTTGTTGAAATCGCTTCCATATATAGTTTCGTCCGATTCCGTGCAAATGAAGCACCAAACTCTACACGTATGTCTGACTGGTATGAAAATTTACATAGCTGCAGCAAACCGACTGACGCATGGCCCAGATAATTTTACGACCAAAAATGTTCCTTATCGAAATATTGATTTTAGACCCCAATTATTTTGAATAAAATACCTTTCAGACAATTTAAAATCGATTTAAAATGGATAGTCTGACAAAACTTACTACAATGAAGTAGAATTTATTTTGAAGCACACTGTATATATATTTTAAAATTATATTTTTATTAACATATTACTGCAAATTCAGTCCATTATTTACAAATAAAAATAGTTAAGCCTTTGTATTCTCCAATAACAGCAATTCATCCAATGTTATATTCAATTCCTTTAAATTCCGCTCAACCCAATCATCGACTTTCTGCACAACTTCCGGAGACAACTCTTGTTTATAACCATTCATTTCACCCTTGCGTATGAAATTAAATCTGAAAGAAAAACAGAAGAAAAAACAAATAATTTCTATAAGTCTCCAAAAAAAACACCTATCACTTACTCTTGTCCCTCCGCTGGTAGGCCATGTTTGGCACGAACTTGTTGAAATTCCCAAACATGATTAGTTTTTGGGTTTTTCTTCATTTCCTCGAATGACAAATGTTTCAACATTTTCTCCATTGTTGACTCATCGATGGATTTATTCAGAAAGCCACAAACATCCAGTATCACTTGGCGCAAATTCATTTTCATCCGTTCAAAACTCGTATAGTAGAGCCATGGTTCGTGACGCAGGGCATAGAATTCGGTTAAATGTAAAAATGGGTCATGCAATTTGGTACCCTCAATTTCCTCACGGACATAGTCATCCAGCGATTTGTCCGTAAATGCACCAACATTGCGTGCATGATAATATTCCGAAACGATGGCATCTTTAATGTTGCGGGCTACATACACCACCTAAAGGGGAATGACAGAACAACAACAATCATTAGCATAGAAAAAGTGCAATTAAGGTTGAACATAAATAAAGAAAATATTTACCTTGGGTTTTTTATCCCATATTTGATGTGGCAATAACGGCAAACTCAAATGGGTCTTAATAAGCCTGGGTCTGCTCAACTGTTCAATGGGCCGAAAACAATTTTCCAAATCATTATTAACCATATAATCGAATCTGGAAGGGAATACAAAATCCGTTATTTTTTCCCCCCAATGTGTCCAAGGGCTCCAAATCTTACTCCATATATGGTGATCGTATTTCCAAGTGCTCCTTTTTTGCTGTTTCAAAATCAAAGTCATTCATCACCAACCACAATAGCTCCTGCATCCAAGTTGTACCACATTTTGGCAATGTGACCAACCACACATCATCTGGCAACACTTCAACATCATGAACTTTCCTAATGTATTCCAAACGATCGGTACGATAATGCAGCTTACGTTTGGACCAATCTTTTTGCAATAAATTTGTCGGATAACGGGGTGGCTGATAATCAGTTAGTGACATGCCCATTGTAGTAACAAAGAAGTCTCCGAATGACCCAACCACTCTTCGCGAATGCTAGATAACAACTGAAGTGAACAGCAACTATCTACTCTATTGCTTGTGGGTCAGTCAGCCAACCAGACAGACAGCTGCTAGCTTTACTAATGTATTTTATTGTTGTTTACCACAAATTTATTTACATGGTGAGTGAGTGAGTGCAGTGCTTGTAGGCCTCTTGGTGTACAATGGAGAGTTGTAATAAGAAGTGATATCAGCGAGGTAATGGGGTTAGGAAAATATAATTACGCAAAACAAAAGATAGAAATTAGTAAATATTAATTTAATGTTTTATTATATTCCGCACAACTATGTTGTCAGGGTATTATAGCTTTGTACAGACCTTAGAGTTTGTAACGCCGCGAAATATTAGTCCTGGACCCAACTTTAAGCATTCCGATCGACATATCTCAACTAGCTGAGTCGATCTATACATGTGTATCCGTCCGTCTGTCCTTTACAATTTTCAAACACGATACGTGCTACGGTTATGGACCAATCGTCACGAAATTTTGTATGTAGGATGAGTTCTGGCCAAATAACACCCTATTGTTTTTGGTAATGATCCGTTGATATATAGGGGATAGAATGGACCAAAAACTTTATATTTGTCTGTTTTCTGGTCGCCATAATTATGACCCGATCACCACGAAATTTTACACAGAGAGAAGGGTCTGGCCATAGAATAAGCATGACACTTTTGACGAAGATCGGTCAAATGACCCTTGTGAAAAATTACAAAATTTGTATTATGGGGTGTATATATTTACTCCTGAAGGACATAGATCCGAGAAATTGACAGTATATCCAAGAGAAGTGGTTGACCTTTAAATTGATACCAATGTACTCGGATGTGGGAGTTATACGTATATATTTAAAGGTGTCTATGGGTTATGATATTGTTTAGTATTACTATTAACCCACTAAAGGGCGGTTATGGTCAAGGACGACACTTATAATTTTCGGCGATGTTGAGATGATATTTAGGGGTTGCAATGAACCGAAAATTTTATTTTTGACAGATTTTCTCACAATCGGAAATATATTGGGAGTTTGGTGCATGGGAGCCATATCTGAATCTGAACCGATCTCAACAAAACTTCACATATACTATTCTAGCCTCAAGTTTCTTTTCATTCGGATAAACTTTGGGACTTTTATGTACCATTTGCATAGAATCGGGGGAAATAATATATGGGAGCTATATGTTCATTTGAGCCGATTACAACGAAACATAACACACATTAGTTTAGATTTAATTCAAGCACAGGATCTTTGGTGCACCATTGACATAAAATCGGACGAAAATATATATGGGATCCATATCGAAATTTAAACCCATTTTAACGAAACTGATCACATGCCATTCTAGAATCAATTCAATACGCTTTCGTCGCAATTGAATCAATTTGGGAGTTTGATGCAGCATTCTAATCAAATCGGAATAAATTGCTGAAAATCAGAGCCGGTTTTCAGCAATTTTAATAGGGCACATCGTTGGGCCAAATAAATGAGCTGTGTCAAATTCCATCACATTCGGATCATAAATACGCCATGTATTTTGTTTACCGTGCAATGCATCAACAGGCAGACGGACATGCATAAGTTAATTGACCCCCAATATTCGGTATTCAGAAATGCATTGTCGATTTAAACACGTCCGTATGTCTGTCTGTTGAAATAGGATGTTGCAAATAGATATATCGCTCAAAACTATCTTGTAGACCCCAATATTCTTTTTTATGGATTTTGCGCACGATTTTAAACCTAATTCGGAAGTTTGGGCAAGTTAACTAGAGTTTGATATTTTGGATTCTCATTGGATAAAAAATCTCCCTACCAATATTTGCCCATGTTTCGGGGTACATGAGAACTAACCCGAAACATGGTTATTTTGGTTCCGTTTTTGAACAGAATTAATCTTCCTAACAACAATATCTGTCCACGTTTTGTTATAGCTCCAATCTTAATGAATTTAGCTGAATTTTTTACCAAAGTTTAATTCCGGATTCTTGGATGATGGAAAACATTTTGGCATAGCAATTTCTATATAGGTCCATGTTTTGGCATTGTTCTCGCGTTTTCCAACCGAAATTAATGTAATTTGGCATGTCCCATTTATCGAGGATTGAAACATCCTTATAAAAAATTTAGATGTAGGTTAATTTTTTAAAATAGCTCATTTTCGACATTTTAAAAGTTTGAGCCGGATTTTCTGGCAGTAGTGGCTGTAATTTGGCGTTCGGGCTCTTGAAGCGAGAAAAAATATTTTATAATTTTTGGTGAATCATTTATATGAAATCGATTAAAATCATATTTAAAGGCTTTATTTAAGTCTGGATCGATTTAAAACAAACTTCGCAATTCACGATAATTATTACATTTTAAATTATTTGTAATATTTATTTTCGCCTAAAAGTATGCTCGCTTTTCTATGAGTTGCCAATGCGTTTCCTCAACAGATGGTGCTGCAGTGCCGGGCAGATGTTTGTTGTTTGTTAACTTATTTAACAACAATTCGTCCAAAGTTGTATTATATTTCCTTAATTTATCATACATGCAATCGTCCATTTTATGAACCATTTATTTGGATAACTCCTTCCTATAGTCATTCACTTTTCCTTTAGGTATAAAGTTGAACCTAAGGAAGTTCTATGAAAATATGTATACACAAGATATATTATTTAAAATCGGACGGGGCCGACCATATGATACCCTACACAACTATCAGGGAAATCTAAGTTTCTGCGGTTCTATATTGGCTAATTATAGAGCAACAACTCCACTTTCTATATATGTGATGGTCTGCATATCATTATGACCTTTAGAGCGACTGGAAAATTGAATAAAAAATAAAGATTTCGGTTCATTGCACCCCCTTAATATCAATTCAACACCACCGAAAATTATATGCGACGTCATTGACCATAATCGGAACTTCATGTTTAATTTCAACGCGATTAGCGCGACATTTTCGCCCTCAAGTGGGGTAATAATAATAATAATACTAAAGAACATCATAACACATAAACGCCTTTAAATACCTACGTATAATTGGCATCACTTTAAAGGTCAACCACCCCTCTTGGATATAATATCAACATTTCGGGTCTTTGTCCTTCTGGAGTAAAAATATACGCCAAAATAAAGTTTTTGTTCCATTGCATTCCCTAAATATTAACGGATCATTGCCAAAAACAATAGGGGTCTTCTAAGACCCATCCTACATGCAAAATTTCGTGACGATTAGTCCATAATTGTGGTCTGTATCGTGTTTACAAATAATAATGGACAAACGGACACATATGTCTAGATCGACTCAGCTAGTCGAGATATGACGATCTGTTTACTTAAAGGGCGTTACAAACTCTTGGGGCTCCACCTGACAACATTGTTGTGTAGGGTATAAAGATGTGACAGACTTTATTAAGAACTCCAGTCTATGTGAAGCTCCAGCATGCGTTTTTATAAAAGACACTAGTCTTAATGCTGCCCCATACAGACCTCTAGTCTCCATACAGACCAACTGGCCTTCATAGAGGAAGGAGTATTTATAAAGAGCATTGAGGCTTCAAAGAGGCTAGACACTAATTATTTATAAACACCTATGCGACTATAAAGACCCATGGGGTCCTGAGGTCTTCATAAACCCCAATTAGTCTGTATGGAGACCAGAAGTCTTTATAAACCCCAATTGGTCTGTATGGAGACAAGATATCTATGTCTATTAACCCCTATGGGTCTATATAAAAACCTCGAGTCTCTATGAAGCCCCATTCAATATAACTTGACGTAAATCGTTTTTCATACGTTGACAACTTGTTGTTAAATTTATTCCGAAAATTAAACATTTTATATTAATTTTCGTTGTGAAAGACGTTATAACGAACTGCGATATCTTTGAATACTGAATATATATTTACTCCTGAAGGACATAGACCCGAGAAGTTGATAGTATATCCAAGAGGCGTGTTTTACCTTTACATTGATACCAATTGCATTGTCGTGTGTACTCGGATGTGGGAGTTACACTTAAATATTTACAGGTTTTTGCGTATTCATATATTATTTAGTAACGCATTACCACACTAGAGGGCGAAAACTATCGCGGATCGCTTTGAAATTTTCCATGAGGATCCAGGTATGGTCATGGACAACGTCTATAATTTTCGGTGATGATCAGATTATAATATTTGGATGGAGTGAACCGAAAACTTTATTTTTTGTGTTTTTTTCTGAGTCGATTTATAGGCCACTATTGAAAGCCGGACATCACAACACAACCCACGGTGAAGGGGATCTGGACAAGTAATTAGAAGAGTTGTACTGAATATTAGTAATATTTGTAGACGTCTAGTCGGTCAAGGGTGTACAAATATCGCTAAATATTGCCCAAGCTCAGAATATCGAACCATAGAAAATTAGATTTTCGTGGAAGTTGTGTAGGGTATCATATGGTCGGCCCCGTCCGACTATACTGCTCCGCTCACTGGCTTTTAATTGTTCTATACTCAATCTATACACATATCATTCGGCTTTCTACGACTTTGGTGAATCATTTATATGAAATCGATTAAAATTATACTTAAAGGCTTTATTTAAGTCTGGATCGATTTAAAACAAACTTCGCAATTCATTACGATATTTATTACCTATTAAATTATTTGTAATATTTATTTTCGCCTAAAAGTATGCTCGCTTTTCTATGAGTTGCCAATGCGTTCTCTCAACAGATGGTGCTACATTACCGGTCAGATGCTTGTTGTTTGTTAACTTATTTAATAACAATTCATCCAAAGTTTTATTATATTTCCTTAATTTATCATACATCCAATCGTTCATTTTTTGAATCATTTCCTTGGATAACTCCTCCCTATAGCCTGTTTCTTTAGGTATAAAGTTAAACCTAAGAACATTTTATGAAAATATTTATAAATAAGATATATTATTTAAAACCGGACGGGGCCGACCATATGATACCCTACACAACTATCACGGAAATCTAAGTTTCTGTGGTAACAGCACCACTTTCTAGCACCGGTATATTTTCCAAATCTTGTTTTCCCGAGGTGAATATACGTCATAAAATAATTTGACCCTCGGATTATTGCCCAAGCCGTTAGAAATATCTTCTCAGATCCCCTTCACCGTGTATAATATGTGATGGTCTGCATATCATAATGGCCTTTAGAGCGACTGGAAAATTGAATAAAAAAATAAAGATTTCGGTTCATTGCACCCCCTTAATATCATTTCAACACCACCGAAAATTATATGCGACGTCATTGACCATAATCGGAACTTCATGTTTAATTTCAACGCGATTAGCGCGACATTTTCGCCCTCAAGTGGGGTAATAATAATAATACTAAAGAACATCATAACACATAAACGCCTTCAAATATCTACGTATAATTGGCATCACTTTAAAGGTCAACCACCCCTCTTGGATATAATATCAACATTTCGGGTCTATGTCCTTCTGGAGTAAAAATATACGCCAAAATAAAGTTTTTGGTCCTTTTCATTCCCTAAATACGATCGGATCATTACCAAAAACAATAGGGGTCTTCTAGGACCCATCCTATATGCAATTTTTCGTGACGATTAGTCCATAATTGTGGTCTGTATCGTATTTACAAATAATAATGGACACATATGTTTAGATCGACTCAGCTAGTCGAGATATGACGATCTGTTTACTTAAAGGGCGTTACAAACTCTTGGGGGTACACCTGACAACATTGTTGTGTAGGATATAAAGATGTGACAGACTTTATTAAGAACTCCAGTCTATGTGAAGCACCAGCATGCGTTTTTATAAAGGACACTAGTCTTAATGCAGCCCCATACAGACCTCTAGTCTCCATACAGACCAACTGGTCTTCATAGAGGAAGGAGTATAAAGAACAATGAGACTTCAAAGAGGCTAGACACTAATTATTTATAAACACCTATGCGACTATAAAGACCCATGGGGTCCTGAGGTCTTCATAAACCCCAATTAGTCTGTATGGAGACCAGAAGTCTTTATAAACCCCAATTGGTCTGTATGGAGACAAGATATCTATGTCTATTAACCCCTATGGGTCTATATAAAAACCTCGAGTCTCTGTGAAGCCCCATTCAATATAACTTGACGTAAATCGTTTTTCATACGTTGACAACTTGTTGTTAAATTTATTCCGAAAATTAAACATTTTATATTAATTTTCATTGTGAAAGACGTTATAACGAACTGCGATATCTTTGAATACTGAACACTATTCAGATTTTGGGATTTGATGTTGTCGAATACATTCAAATGCCAACAATGTGTGCGATTAGAGCGAAAGACTGTATATCTTGTCTTGTCCAGCAATTGACCTATGCATGTGGTCGTCAATTGTATTCATATAACATTTGTCGGTACTAGCAGAGCAGCTGTATTAATCAAAAGCTTGCTTACACTAGCTCAACAAGTGAAAATATCATTAAATTTGGCCGCATCGCACTTGCTATACCCTTCACCTTCAAAAAAAATTTTGATCGACCGAAAATTTTATGTGGATCTTATGCCACGAAGTTATTTTCTCAAAACACAAAATATCAATTTACAGACACTTCGGTAGGCAAATTCGGCTATGACATTCAGCAAACCGAAAATGGGTCGAGACTTTTATATGAGGGTTATGTCAAAATAGGAGAACGCTTGAACTTCTATAAAAGCACCCATTGGTTTTGTTTGTGTCTTGGTGTGAATTTATATAAGAATACTTTCTGGTCTTATATGCAAAGGCAGTCTGTTGTTCTATAAGAAGACAGTCTGGTGTTCTATAAGATGACCGTCTGATATTCTTTAAGAAGACATTTTGGTCCTTTATAAAAAAACCTTTTGGTCTTCTACTTTTAATATGTAGACATTCCGGTCTTCTACAAGAAGACTTTCTGGTCCTCTATAAAAAGTTTTCCGAACTTATATAAGAAGGCCTTAAATGTTTCGTAAGAAAATCTTCCGGGCTTCCATTAGAAAACCTTTTTATCTTCCATAACAAAACCATCTGGTCAGGGGACATTAATAAGTCGTGGATGAATACTTCAACGTACTTTGTACGATTGGTATTGCCACTTGCCCTGGATGAACACATCGGATAAGTACTCCCTATGCCTTAGATTGATGATTCGTAGAAGACCTTATCTATTCTACGAATTTGATAGAGAGTGGATACCCAAATCCCAACAAAATTTTTCCCAAAGGCTGAGGACTGAGGAGGCTGAGTGTTCCTAAACTGTTGATTTCAATAGTCACGAAAACCACGAATGCTACCAAGAAATTTTGAAAATGTAATACCAGTTTTAGGAATAGTCTGAGGGATTATAATGAATTAATTCCAACAGACCCAAGAGTTATACGGCATTTATATTAGAACTTTTTACCAGGTTAACCTACTTTATGAGGATTTATTTGAAATATATTCAAAGTAATTAACAATTTAAACCCACTGGGTTAACCAAATCCGGTACAATGTAAACGTACTTTTACAAACGTTTCAAAGTGTTTTTAACGGATTCCAACGGATCCACATGTTTCGCATACTACAAGGGTTCCAAACGTCTTATATAATTCCGACGGACCCAAGAGTTACAAACACTACAAGGGTTTTACAATACGCGAGGGAACTAAATAATTATGGACACTTCTTACGGTCAAAGCTCACATGCACCACTTTGACTCCCCTGGTTTTGCAAAAGAGACACGGTGGTCGTCTTCTTCGTTATCCACTGACCGATAAATAATGGGAATGCCTCTGCTTATAGAGATGATGCCATTTACTATTAAATATATTACATATCCATAGAGAAAGTCATCAATGCATAGGAAGCAATTTTTCAATGCATATTTAATGTCCTCTCTCCATAGAAGATGTCCTATATCCATAGAGCAGGTCATCTATCTATAGTGGTAGTCCTTTATCTGCAGCTGTGGTCCTCTATCAATCTACAGATGAGTTACTCTACTGTATAGATCATCCACCTATACAGTAGGTCATTTCATATATAAAGTAGGTCCTCTTCTCTGTCTTCTATCAAAGATCGCTTACTCTTCTATAGATATAGAATTTATTTTATGAACAGAGGACCTCTTTTATAGAGAGAATACATTAACTATGGGTAGAAAATCTGTTCTATGGATATATGGCCTCTACTATGCTTCTTAAGGAGGCCGCTTCTTTAAAGGACCTCTTATATGGAGATATGGCCGTCTCTAGCCTAAGTAGACTATCTGTTCATCTATATCAAGGCATCTTGGCCGACTATAAGAAAAAGTTTCTGTTATTGTATAGGAAGATATTCTGGTCTGATCAGTATACGAATTGTTTATGCTCTAGAATAAACTCCTATTATTTTCTTTTGAAGACTTATGGTCTTCTAGAAAATCTTTTTCTAACCTCCTACTTTTCGGAATGTTGGCATTTTGATTGTCTAAAAAAAGACCTCTATCATTTTATCCTGATTTTCCGGAGGTTTGTCTCTTAGAAATCATTGTCGAATCATATTCTCCAGTAGAAATATTTTACAAAAAAGAGTTTTCTCCTCACTTAAGGGCCATATTTTTTATTGAATTTACTTTTATTCTTGCGAAAATTTGTATGTAATATTTTTAATAACGAACATAAAATTACATCGAAATGAAATCTAGATAACAACATAGAATTTCGAATAAACATTTTAAATTGAAATGTCATGGTGTTATGGAACCATCTGTCCGTTATCCATACTCAGATAGTGTGCAGCCAACTCGGTGTGTGAACAAATCTGTATTTGGAAATCTTATCGGATGTGAAATTATCATTAGCATTTGCCCGAAAATAATATGAAACTTATCAAAAAAATGGGCAGTTAAAAATTCGTTAGTTATTATTATTAGTTTTTGCTACAGAGATGGGAGTTATTATTGCCACAAATTTGAATTTTAAAATAATTTTTTTATATATCCCAAAAAGGTTCCAGCAAATTTGAAAGTACGTTTATATTTTCAGTAGTGCTAGCGGATTGTTTTGGATATGATATTGTTACTGCAACATCTATAAGCAATATTTACAGATGCAATGAAATATTCCCAAGTATGGCACAAGATAGGGGCACTTTTAAAAAGACTACAAACGAAAAATATTTTTATTTATGGATTATCTAAACAGATAGTATGATATCGAAAATAGGATGTGCTTAGGAACACACGTGTTTTAAATATAAATTATTATTTACCTAAGTCATCCCTATTTTTAAATGTAGGGCAATCATACAAATTCCACCCTCCCAGCTCTGCTCTTAAAGATAAGGGCTCTCTTTATAGTTTCCAATAAAGATTACAAGTTTTTTGGCAAAATCCATGCCACTATATATATCAGTATACCTTCGGAAGTCATTGAAAGTACAACAGAATTAGAAGTTTTCGACTATTAGAATAAAAAAACCCACGACAATAAAATGATCGAACCCGTCGAAGTTAAACCCAAAAGTTATCCCACAAATCTTCTACCTCAAGAACATTGGGATAAACGTGTTTGTTATGTTCGTGGCAATTGTGAGAAATTCATCGAAAAGATCCATGACGTTGAAGTGTATGATGATGATGTATGGATTGTAACCTTACCGAAATGTGGTACCACCTGGATGCAAGAACTTTTGTGGCTCGTTATAAACGATTATGATTTTGAAACTGCTAAAAATGAAAATTTAGAAATCCGTTCTCCATTTATGGAGTAAGTTGGGATAATGGAATAATGGGAGGACTACTGTAAATTGTAATTCGTATTTCATCATTTGCAGATTCGATTATATGGTCAGTTTAAATTTGGATACAGCTTTGAAGCGAGTTGAAGATTTACAACGTCCCCGATTGGTAAAAAGTCATTTGGCCTTGCCACTGTTGCCAGCACAAATTTGGGAAAAGAAACCGAAGGTAAATTCTAAAAAGAAGACGAGGTCCATTTAATAAGGGGGACAGAGAATCACCTATACAGATAGAGGATCTACCTTATGATAGTAGATCTCCTCTATAGATAGAAATCTCCACTGTATATAGAAGAAGACTTTCTCTGTAGATAGAGGACCTCCTCTATGAATAGAGATTCCTTCCTCTATGTATAGAGGACCTCCTCTATGGTTAGAGGTCCTCTTTTTTTGGATAGAGGCCCTCCTCTATTTTCAGAGGACCCCCTCCATGGATAAAGAACCTCCTCTGTGTATAGAGGACCTCCTCTATGTATAGAGGACCTCCTCTATATATAAAGGACCTCCTCTATATATAAAGGACCTCCTCTATATATAATGGACCTCCTCTATATTTAAAGGACCTCCTCTATATATAGAGGACCTCCTCTATGTATAGAGGACCTCCTCTATGTATAGAGGACCTCCTCTATGTATAGAGGACCTCCTCTATGTATAGAGGACCTCCTCTATGTATAGAGGACCTCCTCTATGTATAGAGGACCTCCTCTATGTATTGAGGACCTCCTCTATGTATAGAGGACCGATGTATAGGGGACCTCCACTATGTATAGAGGACCGATGTATAGGGGACCTCCACTCTATAAATAGAGCACATCCCCTATAAATAGAACACCTCCTCTGTAGATAGAGCACCACCTCTGTAGATAGAGGACTTCCTCTATGAATAGAGGACCTCAGCAATGTATAGAGGACACCTTTTTGTTTTGAGGATCACCTCCCATTTGGCAACATTTTTCTAATTTTCCCTTCCCCTTCTTAAGGTTATCTATGTTGCACGTAGTCCCAAAGATGCCTTTGTCTCCGAATATCATTTCTTCCGTCATATGGGTCTTGTGCCAGTCGAATGCTCTCTTGAACAATACATTAAGGGCCGTATGTATAAGATCGATTGTAACGAACAATTCGATAATATGTACGAATTTTATAAACTACGCAATGAACCCTGGATATACTATACCAGTTTTGAACAAATGAAAACCAATTTACCCCAGGTCATTTTGGATGTTTGTAAATTTTTGGGCAAGTCCATCGATGATGCGACAATGGAGAAAATGTTAAAGCACTTGTCGTTTGCCGAAATGAAAAAGAACCCGCGAACAAATCATTTGTGGGAAATCGAACAAGTTCGTAAAGTAACGAACCGTACTGATGGCGATTTTACGTAAGTTGAAGGCATTCTGAGGTTATGACGAACAATTGAAGGGATTATAATTTTTTCTATTACTTTATTTTCAGTTTCTGTCGCCAGGGTGAAACAAATTCATACAAAAAGGAATTATCACCGGAATTGGTTAAGGAATTGGATGACTTTGTAGAGAAAAAAATATCAAATTACGGTCTAACATTGGATGATTTGCTATTGTTGAATGGAAATAAAAATTAATTTATTTGAAATAAAATTGAAAAAAAAATTAAAAAATTTAAATTAAGTTTTATAAAATATTTTAATGGTTGGGATCTTGGGTCCAATATTAATATAATGGATAGAAGACCCATTTTGTGCATAGAGATCAACACCTCGAACGATTTATCGGAGACCCTATCAGTAAAACCAACATTTCGGTGTTCTAGTGATTTTTGGCACGTTTTTCAACCAAATTGCCTTGAATTTGATATTTTGGATTCTCATTGGGTAGAAAATCTCCCGACCAAATATATGACTATTTGCTCATGTTCGGGGTATCCCCCATAGAACGGATTTTTCCATTATTCCATAGTTTGGGCGTTTTGGCACATTTTTCAACCGATATTTTGAAGGCCTGGCCGAACAAATCCACGTTTTTACTCATTAATTTGGTGGGTTGTCTTAACATGACCAACCCACCAAACCGATATAATCTACAATATTTATATTTTACCGCTGCTAATCTTATCAGTTATAATATATTTTGAGTTTGCATTATCTATACCCTTCGTACCACACAGCGACTGACACGTCTTTGATAAGCTATTATTATCGATTACCTTCAGAAGATAATAATCTCTTCTAACGAAATTTCTACTTGTCATTCCCAGTTGAGTGCAACGTGCAAATAAAATCAAATTCATTCAAGTATCCTAAATTTCATACCAACAGGAAACGAGATAGACTTATGATTCCATTGAGAATATGCATAGAATCACTTTTTAAGTGATGTTAAATTGTAAACAAAGTACAGGTCGCATTTTTGATTCGAATTGGATGAAATTTGGCCCAAGGACGAGCCCTATTGAAATTGGGAAAAGTCGGTTCAGATTAAGATATTTTCGTCCGATTTTAGGTAAATAGTGCACCAAAGACCCTTTATATCCTTCCATTTTCACGAAATTTGGCATATCGTACTGAGTTTCATTTAGATATAGCTTCCATATATATTTTCATCCGATTGTATGTAAATGGTACACCAAAGACCCTTTATATCCTTCCATTTTCACGAAATTTGGCATATCGTACTGAGTTTCAGATTTAGATACAGCTTCCATATATATTTTCATCCGATTTTATGTAAATAGTGCACCAAAGTCCCAATATATTCTTCGATTTGCACGAAATTTGACATAGCGTACTGAGTTGAGTCTAGAATGATGTATGGTAAGTTTCCGAAAAATCGGTTCAGATTTCGATATAGCTCCCATATATATTTTCGTCCGATTTTATGTAAATGGTGCACCAAGGTCCCTATATATCCTTCGATTTGCATGAAATTTTACATAATGTACTGAATTGAGTCTAGAATGCTGTGTGGTACGTTTCGGGAAAATCGGTTCAGATTTCGATATAGCTCACTTATATATTTTCGTCTGATTTTACATAAATGGTGCACCAAACACCAAATGTTTGTCCGATTAACACGAAATTTTGCACAACGTATCAAAACGGGACTTGAATGACGTTATTGCGTTTTGTTGCAATTGGCGCAGATGCAGCCATAGCTTCCGTATGTATTTGGAACGGGTGTCTGATAGCGCGTATAAATGTTGCTAAAAATCGTTTTCCATAAATTTGTCCCATGGTAGGAAGACGACTCTAAATCTGCCCGAATGAAATTAAATTTAGCATAGGTAGCAGAAAGGCATGAGTATGTTCCTTCGAGGGAACATTGACATGCAACTGTAAGGATACATATGTACAATATACCCAAAGTGGTGAAGGGTATCATATAGTCGGGCCAGTCCGACTTTACTACTTTTCTTTCGGGTTTTTCATGTGAATGTCCAAACGTCTGCTCCTAGTATTTGTTCTCTGAACCCTGAGCGTTTATCATATCGTTTAGTCCAATCAGTATACTAATGTATAAGTTAATTCGCTTTGCTGCTAGCTTTGGTGACGATCTTTCCCTTATGTTCGCTTTTCATATTGTTTATAACAATCAAAACCAAATATAATGCCCCACATTGGGCGCCATTCTACTGCTGTTTGAACTAACTATCGAATTAGTATATATTATATTCTAACCTCTCCATATCTCTTCTTTTTCCAGAATCCAATGAACCTGCAGACTTTGAAAAGGCCATAAATGAAGCTGGATTTGGTTTATTTAATCTACTGCTACTGTTCGTGGCAATTCCGGCAACACTGGCCAATGTTTTCTCAACCACAACCATGGCATACATTCTACCCATTGCCGAATGTGATCTCCGGCTGACTCTTTTCAATAAGGGTATGTTAAATGCTGCCACATATGCTGGCATGATTGCCTCCGCCATTGTTTGGGGTTATCTGGCCGATACCCAGGGTAGAAAGAAAATTCTTGTAGTTGGCTATTTGGCAGATGCTGTTTGTGTGGTCTGCAGTTCCCTAAGTCAGAATTTTGTTATGTTGGTGAGCTTTAAATTTTTGGGTGGCTTAATGTAAGTACGACAATTTTATTTTTGGAAGTGAAATTGAATTTTCTTAATAGAATTATTGATTTTTAGTGTAAATGGCCCTGGCGCAGTATTATTCACCTATTTAACTGAATTACATGGTTCCAAACATCGACCACGTGTCCTAATGATTTTGGGTATGGTGCAATCATTTGGCACTCTAATTCTGCCCATTTTGGCTTGGCTGGTATTGCCCAGAGATTGGGAATTTAAAATTGAGGAATTTAATGGTATGTTGGAGTTTTGCGGGTTTAATTATTTTAATATAAAAATTATAATTGATTTCCTTTGCAGTTCATACGTGGCAAATATTTTTATTTATCTGTGCCTTACCCAGTCTTGTAACTGGTCTTATGCTCATGCTTTTGCCTGAAAGCCCGAAATTTTTAATGTCCCAGGGTCGCAATATGGAAGCCTTAAGAGCTTTTCAGAAAATCTATGCCTTTAATAAAAGGAAACCGAGAACTTCATATCCGGTAAGTTGTTCATTAATGAATTTGAAGTCCTTATTAAAATTTTAATTTTAAAAATTAATTTTTCAAATCCCAAATTGAACTTTTTCCAGATCAAACACCTTATCGAAGAAGTTCCCACGCGAGATACCAACGCCAATGATGTCATCTTTACCATTGAAAATAAACTACAATCTGCTGATAGTGAAGCTGCAGCATCGCATAAACCCAAACGTCCACATCGTTCAATGTCTCAGAGTCTGCATGAAGGTTGGCAACAAGCCAGACCCATGTTCCAAAAGCCATTGCTCTCTAAATCGCTGCATGTTTATCTAATGCAGTTCTGCATTTTATTGGGGTAAGGTAGAAGTAGGGGAATATTTTTGGCATTGGTTCTAATTAAATTTTTTCTTCTTTGCAGTTTGAACACCATTCGCCTTTGGTTACCACAATTATTTGCCTCAATTGCCGAATTCGAGCATGAATTTGCCGGCACTGATGAATCGGCAAATCTTTGTGTCATCTTGGATTATAGTGTTAATAAGACAGCAACCGCTATTGCCACCTATACGGGAGAATGTACGGCGGTAAGTAATCAGAAATATAATAGACACATAACAAGTTCGGACCACGACCTGCCTCACTCCATGATTCAAAAGTTAGGGAGTCAGGTTCCAACAAGAAATCTTGATCAATATACTCACCCTAAAAACCTACGATGATTAACATCTTCACTGCTGCAGCCGCCCGCCATATACCTGCTGGTTGTATACTCGAAGTGAGACCAAACTTCCCAGCAGGGACGACGGTGCTTGCGAATGAGCGTGATGAGTTTCGTCGTACAACACCTGAAGACACAAGAGTGAAAGAACTCACCATTCAACAGATTAGTGGCTAGACAGGAAGGAATCTCAATGGTTATGCTGAAGCAACTGGATTAACCTGGAGTAGAGTACTTAACTGCTTCTCAACTTGTCGTTAGCTACCCACATTGTTGCTGAAGCCTGGAAAATAGGCAGGGTGGTTCCGCTACTGAACCCCGGCAAGGACGCCAGCAGAAGTGAATCGTACAGGCCGATTTCCCTTCTGTCTCCAGTAGCAAAGACGCTTGAGTCACTACTCCTCCCTCTGATGAGAGGTAGGTTTTCAGTCCCTCAACATCAATATGGATTGCGGAGGATGCACAGTACAACTACGACATTACACGCCATAACCACACATGTAAGCAGATGACTTAACCAGAACAGGCCGTCCGACTGAACAGTGTTAGTGGCTCTTGACTTATCGAAAGCCTTCGATACTGTCAATCACGCCAAGCTGTTCGAGGACAATGATTAGACCAACCTCCGGCCTAGTTTGAAACGTTGGATAATCAATTACAAGTGTGGTCGCCAGTCATATGTGGAATTCAGAAACAAGAAGTCTAAATCCCGTAGAGTGAAACAGGGAGTGCCCCATGGTGAGGTCATATCTCCGGAACTGTTTAACCTCTACCTTTCTAAAATTCCACAACCACCGGACGGCATAGAGGTCGTAATGTATGCGGATGATTGTACGATCATGGCGTCGGGTCCAATTATCGATGACATCTGTGAAAAATTAAATGTAAACATAGCTGATGTAGTAAAGTTATTCAATCTGGGGAATATAAAGACATCCGCCGCCAAATCCACATCCACTCTGTTCACCACATGGACGGCTGAAATGAAGCTCCCTCTGAACATCATGAACATTCCGACCACAGACTATCCCAAAACTTTGGGTGAAAAGTTTGATAGCTTATTTAAGTCGTCCGCACAAGCTATCTTATCGCTATTTGCGATAAGATGAGAAGCAGGAACAATGTCCTCAAGTCGCCTGCCGGCAGCTCTTGGGGTGCTGATAAAGAGACCTTGTTGACCCCCTCCAAAGCAATAGGTCGGTCGGTGGTAAGCAATGCGGCGCCAGTGTGATTGGCGAATGTAAGCGATACGCAGTAGAAGAACATTCAAACCTGTCAAAATGTCGCCCTGAGAACTGCGACAGGGTGCCTCCTTGTGACGCCACAAGGGGAGGCAATGGTCTTACCCGTACATCGTCACAACAGAATGTTGTCGATGCAGTACCTGCTTGGGTGTTATCGCAGTAATCATCCATGCCATCATCTTATGGATAGGATCCCCCCAACCTTATAAAAGAGGACCCCTAGATTAACAGGCTTGTCGAGTAGGAATTACCGGCATTCACACGGAAGCAGTGACTCAGGCAATGGACCAATACAATGTGAATGCAGTAGAACAGCAGATCTATTTAACTGCCCTGCTAAACCCACTCATCTGTCGCCGGAGTCTATTTACGCAGCCCATGCAGATTGCAACCTTCCTGAACCTGGAAACAGAGGAGTCAGAACCAGAATAATAGAAAATACAAAAAACATGTAGACAGTTGCTACAACAACAACGAGGATTAAGGCAGAAAAGGAGTGTACCGTTCAGGATGACTCCATGATACTACATCCTTTCTGAAGCACTGATGTATTAATTGACATCTTTTATAGATGGGAATTATTTTCGGAAACTCTTATCCGTAGACATGAATTTTAGAGTTCCTTCGTTGCGAAAGGAACTGGTCCATCTAGTTCCATTTGCTCCAGTTCATTGACCGAATTGCCAATGAACGATTGAACTAAAAGGAACTAGATGAATTACCTAGTTCCATTTGCTGAGCGGTCCAACAAGATCAAAAAGCTTCTGGAGAGCAATTGCCTCACTCTAATGAATACGATTTTGAAAACCACAGATCATAAGCGTATATTAACAGCAACTCTCCTTCACAGTGCCCCGGTATGCCACAAATGAACAAATGAGATATTACCGCTCCCAGTAGTGATCCTCGAGACACCCATGCCTTGAAAATATGGCTCTTCAGACATTTTGCCTAAACACTCGTTCACTCATAATTATTCAGCGAATTTCTTTCATTAAAATATTAAATTGTTTCTTTCATTTACTCTTTTTCAGAACAAAGATGTATCGGTCGATACATATTTGAACAATATTATTGTATCCATTGTGGGCTTGGTCGGTTATTGCTTTGCGGGATTGATTGTACGTGCCCTGGGTCCCAAACGTTTATTAAGTAAGTCAATTATCTTTATGTGCCATATATACTATTACTAATTCCTCAATCTTAATTTCAGCTTATGGCCTCTTAATATCTGGTATTTTGGGATTCAGTCTATTTTGGTCAAATAGCGGTCTCACAACACTCATCATATCATCCTTGTTTATAACTGTGTGCAGTATTTCAACTTCATCCCTGCTGGGTATGGTTGTAGCCATATTTCCTACAACACTAAGGTAAAAATATGGCTTTTTTAAATCTCATATGAGGTTTCATATTTCGATGACTTTTTATCTGAGTTTAGATTGGATTAGTCATTGTATAGGGTTAATCTCAGTGGTAGGTTAGGTTTGTTGCAACATGAATTGTATAAGTCTTGCATTTCTTTGATCGCACGCTCACAGCAAATGGAGATTGGAGATTTAGTAAGAACAACGGCAAAATGAACTGAAATCAGACCTACTAATGGCAACCGCCGCTACAAATTCTGGACCATCAATGGAAGTTTAGCGAGTAGCTGTAAAGGCTCTTCCATTCCGTTCCGACCCGCTGCTGTTGTTCAAACAAATGGAATCGCAATTCATTATGGCTGGTATTACGCAAGATTCCACAAAATTCCATACTATTGTCGCATCTACTGAAAGCAGTATTTTGGAGAAGGTATTAAACATCATCTTCGATCCTCCTGCGGAAAACATGTACGACACGCTTAAGGGAAAACTTATTAACAGTTTCTCGGATTCAGAGGAGAAGCGTCTCAAGAAGCATTTGACGAACATTGAACTTGGAGACAAGAAGCCTTCAGAATTATTATCCGAAATGCAGTAAGGTTTCAAACGACATTTTGAAGCAGTTGTGGATGCAGCGACTTCCTTCACAAATGAAAGCAATATTGTCAGTTAGTGAAGACAGTCTTGACAAATTGTCAACGATGGTCGACAAGATTATGGATAGCAGTGAATCAGATGTGTGCCGCTTTTCTTCATCGAGCACTCGTTTAGACGAAATTGAGAAGAAATTGCAAACGCTCTGCACGCAGATAGATTCCCCCAAGAAGCCGTAGCAAGTCATCATCATCAAGGAATAGACGGTCAAATTCCGGAATTAAATCAAAACCTTATTGTTGGTATCATTTCAAATTTGGGGAGAAAGCCAGAAAATGTGTTGCTCCATGGAATTATAAGCCTCCAAGTTCGGAAAACTGAATAATTCACCGTCTTTGGTGACGGATGAGTGTGTCAAAGAGATATGTCGCCTGTTTCTTCGAGATATTAAATCGAAAACCATGTATTTAGCAGATACAGGAACAGATTTAACGGTATATCCTGTGTCAGAATCCATGCGCAATCAACCTCTCAGTCATACTTCCGATCAGGAAATATGGCACAAAACCCCTTTCCATAGAATTGGGAACGAATCGATTGTTTAAATGGAACATCGTAATTGTTGATGTACAATAACCTTTTATTGGATCAGATTTTCTGTGGAAATATGGACTTAAATATCGATATTAAGAATAATACTCTTATAGACCCCCACACTAATCGGAAATGCAATGGTTCTATAGCAAGTCTACAGGATTCCGCTATTAAAAGTATTTCAAGATCATCTGAATATGTCATTGCTTCGAGAATTTAACGACTTAACAAAGATTAATTTCAAATCTAAATCAAAACATTCAGTTCAGCATTATATTGAAACAACGCCCAACATGTTCAATTGTTCCCAGCTCTTCCTCATCCTCACATAGACGGCGGTAATCTACTCCGTTAATGTCCCATTTGGAAGTGAGAGATCCCCACAATGATTTTTATATTCCTCTTACTATAAGACAGCAGCGAAGAAGTTATACGGCGAGACAATTCTGACCAGATGGTTTTGGAAATCCTGCATCCAGGTTCTGTTGACCATATGTTACCAACTACCTCGCAGTAGCTTCTACGGATTTTTCCAATCAGTAGATTCGACGACTGCGAACCCCTGAAGTACACCACAAGCAGCTCTGAAAGCACGCTGAACTTAAAGCCTCTGGGCCTCAGCATAAAGCACCAGGCCGTACGTAGCGCCCAACGGCTGCATGAACAAAACCTCTGGCGAAGTTGTACCTTTGGGCATGGTTGTATCTTGAACGAACCAGATATTATGGCATATTGGATCTACGCATAAAACTAAGCGACTATATATCACCAGTCCTGAGATTTGACGATGTAGATGTCGTTATTCCTAGTAGAGACGACTGGAACCGGAGTAACCCTCCTCTGGACGGTCTGATTTTCTATTTTTCTCTATATTTTCTCAAGTGTAGAACAGCTTTGGAAGAACTTACAGCTGTCAGCTGTGTTGGGTACCAGGACACCGTGACATCATGGGTAATGAACGAGCAGAAGAATTTGCTAGACGAGGATCTCAATCTACAGATCTATAAATTGATGACTCAAACAAACCACCCATATATCAACTTTATCGGAACTTTGAAACGTTCTTTGACGAAAGAGCCTATGAACTTTGGCACAACGAACCTAGGTGCAATGTGTCAAGGTCTATTTGGCCGACTCTGTCTACCAAAAGGACACACTGTTCTACCAAAAGGACACACTGTTGAACCTAGTAAATGGGATCATTATGCAATTGATTACTGTAGACTCTGAGTTGACGAGGAGGAGACAGATACAATTGAGCATCTCCTGTGTCACTATCCAGTCCTGGCTTACAGGCGGCACAGACTAGTGGGTGCTCATTTTCCACCGAGTCTTAGTTTCTTCTCAACAAAGGAACCTGCTCTAATCTATAGCATAATTAGAAACCTAAAGTGGTTGGGAATGTGCAACCTTGACACGTAATATATCTTCTGTCCGATCTCTATAGCCATCGACACTATTTAAAACCAAGCTTCTTACATTTTCTTGTAAGATTCTCATCTATCCCCCTTCTTTTCTCCCCTATAGATCTCACCATATCTTCAACCTAGCGCAAAGGGCCATGAACAATTCCAAAAACTTCATTACATGGAATACTCCCTAAGCTTAAAATTAACAGTCTATCACTTAATCATATCATAAACAACAATACATGAACTACTCCAAATTCGTCTTTCTTTTCGTGGATGATCACGGTCCCGGAGTGCTGCAGCCACATAAGTGACTGCACATCCCAAAACCTTACCTAAAGGCCGCCTGACTATTGACATATAGTCACCGGTCTTATATTGTCGGCAGTAAGTGTTTTGACTATCTCAGCCGCTTTCGTTATTGCCAGGATTTCCGCATGAAAAACGCTGCAAGGATCGTTTCGTTTATGTGATATGTGTGCACCCGTACCTTCCACCATTTTCGACCTGTCTGTAAATATCGACAGACCGGTCAAGGGTAAAGAGCCACTTGCCCAGGATTTCCTACTAGGAAACTCTACTCTAATATCGTTAAATTCTTTATGAGAGGGACCCTGGGATCCATGAGGGTTTTCATGGAAGTAGTAAAATTTCAAATCAAATCCTTTGTTTTATACAAATAGGCATTTCACGAAATAAGCCAATACCTTTTAATAAGGATACCCAAAAACCAAAAAAAAGCAGCTTATTTTTCTCAAGTTTAATATAATAAATTTAGATGATATTTACGTGTTAATAATATGTAGTTAATTCTCAATGATTGGTTTTTAAAATCTAAGTGTTGTAATTATTGAATTCCGCGTTACGGATTTCCAACACACAACATACAGTAATTGCGATGAGATCGCCTAGTGTGACCTACATATAAGTTTGTAAATAGTCGTAGCAATAAGTTTTTCTTGTATAGTGTGTAAGGTATTGATAATCACTTTCAATAAAGCCGCCAGCCGGAGCACAAGTGTTTTTTCCTTCATCCACTGGAAGCAGAGCAAGAACATACCTTCAACAAGAAGCAGCTGATCTTCCTCAATTATCTTATTAATAGTCCTTGAAATAGTTAAAGTAATTTAAATTAAGTCTAGAACAGTGTGTGTTAAATTTCGTGAAAATCGGTTCAGATTTAGATAAAGCTCTCATATATATTTTCGACCGTTTTTATGTAAATGGTGCACCAAAGTCCCTATATATATCCGTCGATTTGCACAAAATTTGGCATGGCGTACTGAATTAAGTCTTGAAAGATGTGTGTTAATTTTCGTGGAAATCGGTTTAGATTTAGATATAGCTCCCACATATAGATTATATTTTTAATGTATCAATTTTGCTACAAATCGTTTTCCATAAATTTTCCCCATGTTACGCAGACGGCTCTAAATCTGCTCGAATGAAATTACAGTTAGGATAGGTTGGAGAAAGAGGGAACATAGACATGCAATTGTTAGGATGCATATGTACAATATACCCAAAGTGGTGAAGGGTATCATATAGTCGGCCCAGTCCGACTTTACTACTTTCCTTACTGGTTCATCTTTATGATTGCCGTAGATCGTAAATAAATTCTGATACATTTATGTTGAATTCTCCTTTGGGCTCTGTTATGGTAGCTACTCCTTTCAATTTAAATGTATGCAACCGTGCCGTGTGCGTGCAAATAAAATTCCTGCCGGAAGAAGGACAACATCCCACTGAGATCCTTCCTCTCTATGTGGTTCTAAAGGTAGTATATATTTATACATATATATCTGTTTACAGTGACTCCAATAAATTATCAAAAATTGCATGAGGAATCACTTATTTTGTTACAACATTTGTTACATTATTTAACAACAACAATTCATTTAATGTTATATTAAATTTCCTTAAGTTATCTTCCATCCAATTGTCCAATTTTTGCACCATATCCTTGGATAACTCTTCCTTATAAGCATTCACCTTTCCTTTGCGTATAAAATTGAACCTAGGGAAATGTTACAAAAAATAATTATATGTAAGATATGTGGGTTAAAACGATGTGCTAGGCTTAATAAAAACCTCTGGCTTCCATACAGACCAATCGGTCTTAATAAAGAACTTTGGTCTCCATTTAATGGTCTATATGGAGATCTTTATAAAGAACTCTGATATGCATACAGACCAATTGGTCTTTATAAAGATCACTTGTCTAAATACAGACCAATTGGTCGTTATAAAGACCTCTGGTCTCCATACAGACCCACAGCCTTTGTAAAGACCTCTGGTCTCTATACAGTCCCATGGGTCATTATAAAGACCTCGGGTCTCTATAAAGCCTCATGGGTCTTTGTAAAGACATCTCGTCTCTATACAGCCCCATGGATCTTTATAAAGACCTCTGGCCTCTATGCAGCCCCATGGGTCTTTATAAAGACCTCTGGCCTCTATGCAGCACCATGGGTCTTTATAAAGACGTCTGGTCTCTATATAGCCCCATGGGTCTTTATAAAAACCTGTGGTCTCATACAGCCCCATGGGTCTTTATAAAAACCCCTGGACTCATACATCCCCATGGGTCTTTATAAAAACCTCTGGTCTCTATACAGCCCCATGGGTCTTTATAAAGACTTCTGGTCTCTATACAGCCCCATCGGTTTTTATAAAGACCTCTGGTCTCTATACAGCCCCATGGGTCTTAATAAAGATCTCGTGTCTACATGCAGCACCATGGGTCTTTATATAGACCTCTGGTCTCTATACAGCCCCATGGGTCTTCCTGAAGACCTCTAGTCTATATACAGTCCCGTGGGTCATTATAAAGACATCTGCTGTTTATACAGCCCCATATGTCTTTGTAAAGACCTCTGGTGTCCGTACAGACCAATTAGTCTTTATAAAGACCTCTGGCCTCTATACAGCCCCATGGGTCTTTATAACTACCTCTGGTCTCCATACAGTCCAATGGATCTTTATAAAGATCTCTGGTCTCCATACTCTCTATACAGACCAATTGGTCTTTATAAAGACATTAGGTCTCCATAGAGAACAATTGGTCTTTATAAAGACCTCTAGGTCTCTATATAGGCCCCATGGGGTTTATAACGACCTCAAGTCTCTATATAGACCCATAGGTGTTTATAAAGAACTAAGATTTCATGGACCAGTCCTATGGGACTTTATTAACACCTGTGATCTGTATACATCCCCATGGGTCTTTATAAAGATCTCAGATCTCCACATAGCCCTATGAGTTATATATTTATCCTAACGACTTACTCAGGTTTTCCAGATTCCATTCCGAATTTATTTCGTATCTGTTCATATTCCCATAAATGATTCGTTTTCGGATTCATTTTCATTTCATCGAATGATAAATGTTTAAGCATTCGCACCATTGTTTCATTATCAATAGTTCGATTCAGAAATCGGCAGACATCCAAGATAACTTGACGTAAATCGCGTTTCATACGTTCAAAACTTGTATAGAATATCCACGATCCATTACGTAATGAATAGAATTCGGTTAAATGTAAGAATTGCATATCCGAATCGCCATTTTCGATTTCTTCGCGGACGAAATTCTCAAGAGTTTGATTTTGAACAAAATCAATATTACGCATGTGATAATAATCGGAGACAAGGGCATCCTTTAAATTGCGCGCAACATAGACGATCTGAAATAATAAAAGATTTATTTAAAGTAATATCGTATTTAAGTTATATTTTTAATTCCTTACCTTTGCTTTTTTCTCCCATAATTGTCGTGGCAAAAGTGGCAAACACAAATGGGTCTTTATCAAACGAGGACGTTTCAGATTTTCTATGGGCTTAAATGCTGATTCCAAATCTTCATTTACCAAATAATCGAATCTAGACAGAATGAAAAATTCTTAAAACATTATCAAATACCAATCACCTATCACATCTCACTCTAAAAATGGTGAACGAATTTCCAAATGTTCCTCCGTAGCTCGAGCAAAATCAAAATCATTCAAGACCAACCACAACAACTCTTGCATCCATGTTGTACCACACTTGGGCAGTGTAACCAGCCAAACATCATCCTCGAATATCTCCAAGTTATGTACCTTATTTAAAAATTCTTCACTTACACCCCAATATTTGATTTCACGTTCTGGCCAATCTTTCGTTAATAAATTTGTTGGATAACTTGGAGGTTTGTATTTAACCGCTGATATTGTTGTAGAATTTATGCCGACAACGAAAATTTTTAAAATTATTAACAATGTTGTAATAATTTTCATTACGGAAGGCGTTATAACGAAATGCGTCATCTTAGAATACTGAACACTATTCTGATTTTGAGATTTAATGTTGTCGAATGCATTTTAAATGCCAACAATGTCTGCGATTAGAGCGAGAGACGGTATGTCTTGTATGACCACATAGGTCAATTGCTGAGCACTATCGCTATCAATTAATTTCTGTTTATATTCGCCGGTACTAGCTGAGCATCTACATTAGTTAAAAGCTTGTTTACACTAGCTCAATATTAAAACAAGTGAAATAAATATGAAATAATATTAAAACAAGTAAATAAATTCGGCCAAGCCAAATGTACGCATTCAAAATGAAACCTATAAAACTGTGCAACAAGATTTAGGATACCGTATATGGGGCTACCGGAAAAAGTGAATCTATATTTATAATTTTTTGGTGGATATTTTTAGTACCCAATAAGAACGCGCACAAGAACCCCAAAATATCGGAAAATTGGGGTAACCTTATATGGGGGCTATGCCTAAACGATATAGCCCATCTTCGAACTTGACCTGCCTGCAGAAAAATACAACTCTTGCTTCAATTCGTTTAGAGACTATAGTGATAACAACAGACAGAATGACATTCTTAAATTGTCAAGAATATACATTTATACTTTATTGGATTGGAAATGGTTATTTCGATGAGTTACGAACGGAAAAACAAACCTAATATGACCTAATGTGACTCTGGTCTCTTTATAAAGACCTCTGGTTTTCATATAGACCAATTGGTCTTTATAAAGACCTATGGTCTCCATACAGACCAATTGGTGTTTACAAATACCTCTGGTTTCCATACAGAACAATTGGCCTTATAAAGACCTCCAGCCTCTATACATACCAATTCGTAGTTATATAAATCTATGGTCTCTATACAGACTAATTGGTCTTTATGAAGACCTCCGGTCTCTATACAGAGCAATTCCTAGGTATTTAACCTACAGATTCAATACAGAACCAGTAAGGAAAGTAGTAAACCACTTTGGATATATTGCGCATATGTATCCTTACATTTGCATGTCAATGTTCCCTCGAAGGAACTTACGCATGTCATTCTGGGCAGATTTAGTGTCGTCTGCGAACCATGAGACAAATTTATGGAAAACGATTTGAAGCAAAATTGATACACGCCATTCGGTACGCCGCACTGCTAAACATTTAATTTCAATCAGACAACCGTTCGAAATACATATGGAAGCTATGGCTGCTTCTGCACCAATTTCAACAAAATGCAATAACGCCATTCAAGTCTCAATTTGATACATTGTTCAAAATTTCTTATTAATCGGACAAACATTAGGAGTTTGGAGAGCCATTTATATTAAATCTGACGAAAATATATGAATATGTGAGAGCTATATAGAAATCTGAACCGATCCCAAACTTACTACACATCATTCTAAACACAATTCAGTACGCTATGACAAATTTCGTGCAAATCCAAGAATATGTAGGGACTTTGGTGCACCATTTACATAAAATCGAACGAAAATATATATGGGAGCTATATCTAAATCTAAACTGATTTTCAGGAAACTTAACACACATCATTCTATACCTAATTCATTACGCTGTGCCAAATTTCGTGCAGATCGAAAGATATACAGGGACTTTGGAGCCCCATTTACCTAAAATCGGACGAAAATATTTATAGAAGCTATATCAAAATCTAAACCTTTTTTCTAAATTTCAATAGGGTTCGTCTTTGGATCAAATAAATGAGTTGTGCCAAATTTCATCCGATTCGAATCATAAATGCGACCTGCATTTTGTTGCATGGACAGGCGGACGGACATGCATAAATCGACTTAGAAAGTGATTCTATTCATATTTTCAAAAGGAATCATGTGTCTATCTCGTTTCCTTTTGCCTGTTATAAACATATGCACAAAGACATAATACCCTGTACCACAGTGTTGTGAATGGTATAAAATGAGTGCGAACCAAAGTACCGAATATTGGTATTTATAAGACCAATTGGCCTTATAAAAACCTTGGTGTCCATACAGAACAATTGGTCTTTATGAAGACCTCCTATATCTATACAGAGCAATTGGTAGGTCTTTAACTTACAGCTTCAATACAGAAAAATACCAAAATATAATGAACAAAAACAACAGTTAAATATAAAAATTGTAATTTTTAATCATCGAAGAAGTAGTTCAATTTTAACAATAAGTAATTTTTTTCCAAATGATACATTATTTCCTCCATTGCAAAAGTTATACAGCCGAAGATAGAAACAAATACCCAAACTTAAAACATGTTCATTTTCTTTTTTTGTTTCAATTTTATATATCATATTACTTTGACACTTGCATAGAAATGTTTTCAGCACATTACTATCATGATTATTGCCATTATTTATGTTTACTATCATCTACATTATGTATTTTGTATTTTACATTTAATCTTTATACACAATTTATATTATTAAAAAAAATATTGTTTTCAGTACTTGAACATACATACACTTGCAATAATGGCAAGTTTTGTTGTTATTATTTCTTTTTCTTTTTAGTATAGAAATATATCTAAATTATAATAAAATTACAAAAAATAATGGTTGTTAACCTATGTGTATATCTACTAATAACTAATGTCAGAACATATGCCCAACCACACCTGAGGTTATTCCATGCTATCAATAACACTGCACATAATACGATCCAGTTGATTGACCGCATCCGATTTATTGTTATTACTTGAATCTTGCGAATCAATTTCCATTTTTATATCACTATCGCTCATATCGTCATCTGTGATTTCGGGCAGGTCACTAAAAGCCGTATTGACAATATCACAAACCCGTTCCAGGTGCTTTTCGAAACGTGTTGTCGTCTCCACTCGTTGACGTTTTTGTGTTTCCATCATAACGCGAAGGGTTTCACGGGCCTGATGGGGCCGAAATTCATTGAGCAAATGATGCATATGGACAAACAATAAACTCAAATCATCAATCTGAAAAAGGGAAATACATTAAAGTTTAGTTCTAGTCTGGAAATCCCACCATACCATACCTTTTCTGTTCTTCGC